ACTGCACATTTGCATGACACCAATTTTGTTGCCTCCAGAAAATGTATAAACTCAGCCTTGATTTACCCTATTGCAGCAGGAACATGCAAAAAGTCTTTCAGACTGCACAGAAACATCTCTTACATCTTACGTCTGAGGATGTAAGTGGTTTTGGCTGGCCTTCAAGGGCAGCCCTCCCTGGCGTGAGTAGTCATACGAAGCTGGGAATGAGCTTAAACCAGAAACTCACATTTAATATGCCCCAGGATGTTTGAGACACTCCCTGCTTAAGAAGTTCAGTCCTTTTTGCCTAGAATAATATTCAGTATAGTCCTTTCCTGCATTGTTTTCTGCCCTCTGAGTCCCCCAAGCAGGTATGAATATGTAATATATGCAAGCCCATTTAAAAGAATGTAAGTACTTTCTGATGTGAAATCCAGGTTTCAACAGTTCTCATGAAAATAGTGAACAAGAAGCAAGACCCAGCTGAGCAATGACTCCCGGTGTGACACTGTCTTCTCGTCACCTGGGACTTCTCCTTTGCTCTTCTGACTGGCCGTACATTTCCTCCTGAATTCCCAGCCAGGCCCACATACAGGAGGTGGAACAATGGTTTCCCATGAGTAGGACAGGGATACATGGTAGGTGGTCAGGTTTTGATGATTTTGGTCCTCACTGCTGGGACTGTGTACAAAATACCTAGGCAATCCGTGGCCCTGAGACCAAGCATGAGCAAATGACTTCTCAGTGCAACGGCTCAGGAGTACCCACACAAGAGGGAGAACAGCAGGTCTCCAGGCTCTTCTTGACTGAAAGTTATTAAACTTTATTTCTACAAAGAGGACACAACTAAAAGGAGAATTTAAAATCCTCCTTTCGAATGAGGAATATCAAATAGCCCTATGGGCACTCTCACTGGAGATGTGGTCTGGCACAGATGAGAACTGAACCTGGGTTTCCTACATGCTAGGTCTGACTGCTCCAAATTATGGATCAGACCAAAGGAAGCCATCATCCTAAAATAAATCTAAACAAACAAACAGAGATCATTTCCAAGAAGTTTTCAGTGAGCGAAATCTTTTTTAAAAGCAAAATTAGTATTTTCCCATAAAATATCACTAGTATTTGCCTTTTCCTTTCTTACATGCCTAGGATCTATAGAAGTTCTTTTCAATGAAAACAATATTCATGGAGTACCCCTTAGTCTTTCTGTACTTAGTTTGCAACTAATATTTGAGAGACTTTTGACGTCCTGTCCATGACAATCTATAAAGATCTAACTTTTTTCAGTTGTTTGTCCTTTCCTGCAAAGTATAGCACAGTCAGCTCATGCAAGGCTATTAAAGGACAATATATACATGAATACTGCAAATCATATCTAAATCAATACAGATATCATCATTAGTGCATTTCAGTCCATATGTCCCACTGCTGAACACAGTTGTATCAGTGGCAATTTGAAACAGTTGCATTTGGTATGGGAGAGTTTTCATTTTTCTATGCAGGAATTTTTCGTTTGCTTGTGGTTAACACCTCCACCTTTTTAATTATTGTTACAGGTATGAACTACTACCTCGCTATCATACCGTTTCTGGGGGCAGTGGAGGCTGGCCTCTTTGGGCAGCTGCAGTACGAGATAGAAATATTGCCACCAGAGGAGCGAAGAGCTGATTTCTGTTATAGTGTTGCCGACTGCCGGTCTCGCATTCCCAAGCTCATGGATGAGTGGAAGGCCTATTTTGAAGTAAACAATTTTACTTTTTTTTTCATATTTTGTAGGAAATGATACCAGAATATTACTTTTAAGAAATATTATTACTGCTATTTGTAAGATTCAGAGAGTTTGGTTTGCTTTCAATAACAGCTTGGTATAAAAGTAACAAGCAGAAAAAATTAAAAGCATGACGTAAAGTCAGTCAGAGATAAGAAGGCCGGGATTTTTACAGGTTATAGATTTTTTTCCTTCCTTTAAGATAATTCTGTATTTTGCAGTCTGGCCCAAGAGACTGTTTTGTTAATAGTTATATTTGTATTCTTGCTATACTGCTTATGTTAGCAATGCAAAATAAGCATGCGAGATAGAACATTACCCTTGAGAAATGGCCTTGCGTTGGTTTTATATGGTTCATTTATTCCTTTGAACATCTAAAAAACTGAAAATACTGAAACTTCATTCAGAAGGACACTTATTTATGCAAGTTTCTCTTTCCTCCTCATTCAGCTGTTCACTAATCCCAAAGATGACAGTATTTCTTACTTCATAGATTCAGTAACTATTTTTATAGACAGACTTATATATTCAACATTTTTGTTGGTAGTCAAATAATCACAGAATCGTAGAATCATTAAGGTTGGAAAAGACCTCTAAGATCATCGAGTCCGTCAACCCAACACCACCATGCCCACTAAACCACGTCCCTAAGCACCTCATCTACACGTCTTTTAAATACTTCCAGGGATGGGGACTCAACCACTTCCCTGGGCAGCCTC